GGGGGGGGGAAGGAGGTGCACAGTATGCAAAATTTTACATGTAATTTCAGGGAGATCCCAGACCCCCTCAAACTCAACCATGGACTTCTAAAGGTCCTTGAAACCCACATTTAACAACCCTAAACAGAGAAAGACAACTGAACCATCTTCTACCAGTTTCTTTTATCATCTCTCTCTCTCATTCCCTCTCTCTCCCCCCTTTATCATTTTTGCAGAGTCCTTTACTTATTAACAAAAATTCACACACACACACACAGAATGAAAGAGGGAGAACTGGAACATGTGCAACTACAGACCAGTCTACTAGAGATAGTATTGGAGCCATGAAATATCCATAAATAGACTCTAAACTCCCACTATTCTAAATAACTGTGGGGCTTACTTTACATTTAAATTTTATCAGTATTTCTAAAAAAAGTCTTAGTGTTCAACCCAATAGTGAGATTTAGAAGAAAGTGGACGTGGCTCACGTGGATGTTATACATCGCCAAGGTGCGGTACCGCTCCTGCACATCCCGGTACCTGAGCTCCATGAGCAAGGATTTACTTTTAACTTCTGCAATTGTTGCGAGGACAAACTTGAGGTCCTCCAGGGTTTTGGGGCTCTTCTTCAGGTTTCTGGCCAGGTTCTGTAAAAGAGAATTTGAAGGACACTGAATAAACATGGAGGAGGGAAATGGTACCCAGCGGAGAAAGGCAGTTCCGAGTAAACCCCATGGCTCACGACCTCCATCTCTTCGTAAAGGCTGTGCAGCTCCTCCCTCGCCGAATCGTTGAGCAGCTTCCCCAGGGAGGTCACCCAGGACTTGGCGTTTTCCTGCACGGTGTTGGCCAGGGGACCGAGCTGCAGCCGCACACAGTGCTCCTCCTTGACCATAGGGTGGCGCATCACTTCCGAGGCCACGCGGGAGTAGAACTGCAGCTTCTCGTCGTAGGCCGCGCAGGGGGGCTTCTTGGCAGCAAACTTCTCCATCAGGATAGCTTTGTCCAGCTTCCAGAGTGGCCGGTACTTCTTCCATTTCTGCAGGTACTTCACGAGATTGACCAGAATCCTGTGGACATTCTGGGGGATCATGACAGCCTGCTCGATGATCTGAGGGTTCAGGGCAATGTCGCTGTAGAAGCTTATTGTGACGACCTCTTCTTCCTCTCCCTTCAAGGGTGGGCATTCTATGCAGCTGCCGTTCATCCACCGAACAAAATTCTGGCAAGACGATAATCGAGGGCAGAGACAGCACATTAGTATCGGTTTTGCTCCCTGGGTATGTATTAGTGTTCAGTCATAATTCTTTCTAGTAATAGAAATCACTTTATCATTAATAAACTGTGCTCAATTGCAAAAAGGACAATTCTTTGTTCCTCCCACCATGTTCCCACCCGGGGGAGCCTGTGACTTGACCACCAGGAGGGCTAGAAGTAGTTCATGCAAGTTCCAAGCCAGGGACTCAAGTGGCCGTGAAGCTTCCATTCTCAGGCTCTTGCACAAGGCTGAGTTAGCGTTCTGGATGGTGATAAGCCATAGACAGGAGGACCAGGTGCCCCAGCCAACAGCCAGCCCATCAGGCAGAACTGAGGCAGAAGAACCACTAGGCCCAACTCAGCCTGCAGAATCCAGAACTAAACAAACAGTTACCATGTTAAGAGTTGGAGTGCCTTGTTATGCAAAAAAAGCTAACTTTTTAAATAACAATGCCCATCTGCTTCCTACAGGACAGGTGGATGAAACAGTAGTTTTCTTATTGACAAGGAACATAAAGCTGGGTAAGCTGACCCCCCAACCCCCATGTCGCAAAGCAAATCTGTTCATTTGACGTGTCCCTGCCACACTGTTGAGATTCCCTCCCACTTTTGATCAAGCATGATTCCTGACAGCAGACCATGGGCGTGTCACACAGAACTTCTTCAGCGGGTGGGAACAATGCTACTAATCCCACGACAGATACTAACACCAACACTGATACCTCACATTCACTCAGAGCTACTAGTGGCCAAGCACTGTGCTAAATTCCCTCCATGTGTCACACTGCTGAGCCCTCCCAACATCTCTAAAAGTGGACTGTGCTGCCATTTCCATTTAGCAAACAAGGTCAGAAAGACCCTAGTTTAAAACTTGGCTCACTTTGTTTTCAGCCATGAAGCAGGAATCCTGAAGCTCAAATAGAGGAAGCAGATAAGCTACATTAAGTTACTCAGTCATAAATGTTTACTTACTGGGGGAGGGGGTAGTGTATTAAAGCCACAAGACTGGTCGTGACTGTGCAGAGAAGAGAAAGGAGAGAAGGGGTGCCCGAATTGAGCCCTGGGACACTCCAGGAGGTAGAGATCAACAGAGGAGGCACCCAGAAGAGACTAAAACAGTCTGGACGAGGAATGGAGGGGAACCTAGGTTCTCAACCAGCTCGGGTGGCCCAGCCATCTGAGATGGGAAGACACCTGCGAAACCACACAGACGGCTCTGCTCTTACCCTGGAGATCTCCACGCAATTTCGGACGCAGTGGACGCACATTTTGTCGATCTCATTTGAGTTGGGGTGAAGGATAATCTCGGGCGCAGTCAGAATGGTTTCCGTTTGGAACAAGGGGACGTCCCCCAGGATTAAAGCATTAAAAGACTGCAAATTCCTAAGAGGGGGTAATAAGAAAGACTCAGTACTCATGGTAGTAAAATATATCCAACATTTACAGTGCCTGGAGTCACAAAAACCACATGTAAAAGCTGTAATAACACATTCTAGGGCTATCATGGGCAGTTTGGACTGAGTTTTGTTATATATCTTTTTTTTAGCCTTAATTTTACAAAAAGAGCATTTCAACTTTGGGGCAGTAACTATCTATTAGCTGGGCAATATGTAAATAATAGATGACTTCCACAAGCTGCTCAGCTCTGACTCAGGGCAAATCGTCTCCCCAAGAGACTCCTCCCCTTCCTGCTCACTCCTATCTCTAGGACTCAGCTAACATGAAGCCTGCCCCTCCACTCTCTCCCAGGAACAGTATTCTGCTCTTTCACAGAAATCATCCTGGTTGGGTCTGTTGCCTGATGTCTTGCCTCTGCCCCATCTGAGGATGGAGACGCTCTGGAGGGACAGGGACCATGTCTGGTCCAGTGTCTGGCACGGTGTGGCAGGCTTCTCTAAACCTCTGAATGAACGTATGAGTGGTGGACGAATGGATGGAGGAATGGGGGGAAACAAAGCATATCAGAAAGGGAAGCACTATGGGAGGCAGCCCTACGTATGAGGATGCTTTAGAAGTCTAGGTTAGAAGCAACAAAAAATAAATGAAACATGTAAAAACAGATCAACTTAGCGAGGTCTATCAAACTAGGTCCAGGAAACGAGAAAGCCAAAGGTCTTTGTTTTTCTTATTAGTGCGTTCCTCCAAGGTGTATCTGAGCAGCTCAGGAGAATACCTTAGCTGCACTAAGGGACCCTAAAATCAAAGTGGGACAAAGTAAGAAAGGAAGAAGACACTAATCAGAGGCAGTTCAGTGATACTGGAGAGACACTGGCCCAGGTTCAGACCCCAGCACATCTTACTGGATGTGCAGGCTCAGGCAAGCCCCTTAACCTCCCAACAGTCTGTCCTCATCTGAACAATGGGGTGAGAACTGCAAAGGCCACAGCATAAGCCTGGTGCAGAGTGAGCTTCCGTACACATCAGCTTCCAAATAAAAGGGTCAAGAATGAGACTAACCATGCAAATCATAAACACCTGCAAGCCTGATGCATTCAGGCTACAAACTTGTTTCTAAGCTTCCTAGAAGTCAAGGAGAGAAGGGAAAGCTATGAAGCCTGAAATCCAAAGTGTCCGTAGCACTGGAAAACAAAACAACAAAGAACTAAAGAGAAAGGAAGTACTTTCTCGAGAGGCTAAGCTCAGAGGGAAATCAGGGGAACGTCCCCATGAAAAGGACATCATGTGATGAAACAACCACCATCCTCACAACGTGGAGCTGACAACAGTCATGAATCTCATAGGCTCGTTTCTTAGAATGATCCTCTGCCAGTGCAGCGAGGTCCAGGCACTCGGCTCTCAGCTGCTCTAGGAGCCGTGAGCTCCAGGAGGGAAGGAACAGCCTCTACCCTGTGCAAGGCTGGCCCATGCAACAGGCATTCAAGATGTGTGTATGTGACGCTCCTCTAGCCAGGGGCTCACTTTACCCACTGGGAAGCATGAATGGGTCACATGCCCTCCAAGTCAGCCTCTCTCAATAGGGCAAGAAAGTCCCCCGGGGTTTTCGTGACTCCTGAGACAATTCTCTGGTGCCTGATGAACACAGACACATGTATGTCTTTGGGGCAGCTGACGTGGGGAGAGGGATAAGTTCCTCTTCTCAGTGATGAAGGGCCCAACAAGAGCATGAGCCCAATGGAACATCACCCCTCCATCCTGAGAGTGACCTTCAGCCAGGAAGCAGCACTGTTGTCCAACTGGTTTTCACTCTGTACCTGCAACCCCCCTTTAACTGTTCACCTATATGAACTATTTTAACCTATGCACACGGCCCTCAAAACAAGCAACAGGGTGAACTTACTTTAGGATGAGCCTTGTCAAGACCTCGTAAATTCTGTTCTCCCAGTACTCGTAGTAGGCGGCCAACTTGGGGGCCTTGCCCGTGTTGGTGTGGATGACCAGGCCCTCGACCTTGGTCAGCAGAGGCCCGATGGCAAGATACCACCTGACCATGTAGTCCACATCTTTGGTCCTTTCTCGGTCAATGTGCTCAAAGAATTCCTTTACGCCTGCAGAGGAAGTCACCGGTCACAGTCCTCCATGGACACGGGGAGGATGATTACTTCTAAAGCAACCCAGACACTGGCTGTCTATCTTGGAAATAACAAAAGCAGCCTCTAACCTTGACCCAAAGCAGAAAACAAGTCAGCACCGGATATCCAGACGGACCCTAAGCAAACGCTAAGTGACAGTATGGACTGCCCACCATGGGTGCTGAACAATGTCACGCACAGCAAGCAGCTCTTACATCTGTGGGAAATCCTGCTTTTCCCTAATTCCTTGTTGATGAATCTAAGACCACTTAAAATATCTGCTTTGAACAAGTAAATGTGAGCCCATGAGAATTACCCATGATCCTTTCAGGTAAATGAGTGAGATCGTTAGGAATGGTTTTAGTCCACTCATAGAATATATGTGTGTGTGCACACACACCAAAAGGTTTTTTCATTCCTTCTACAATCAAAGAACTTCCACAAAGAAACGAGAAGCCAGATCTACCTGGGAGCTCCTCCTCAGTTTTAGGCACTGGGTATTTAAAGAGATTTATGGACTCGATCAACGTGAGCCTGGAAGAAATGTCGTCCGAGTTCTTATGAATTTGATGGACAAGGGACTCGAACTTCCCAATGGCTTGCTTGCACCGTGTGATGTAGTCCCCAATACCTTTGGAGAAAGAGAGAAACAAACAAGCTGTTTGGCCTTCGGAGTCTTTCCTCCCATCTCTCTCCCTCCACCACCTGTAATGTTGACACCAGACGGCATCCCTTGTACAGGAAGGACCCTGTTCATCCCCTGCCCTTGGGACTGTGAGGTGGCAGAGAGCCACTGGCATCCCTGGGAAGGAAGGAGCCCTGCCCGTGCTCAGAATCAGCCAAATGACACATTTCTTCTGTTCAAACTTGAGCATAATCACATGTAAAGCACTGTGGGAGAGAGAGAGAAGGTCCACCCTCTCGTCTTCTCGTTGCCTTGGCAGACTGAACCCTCCACTCTACCCTACCCTGCCGCACTTGGGAAAGCAAACGGCGAGAACTGGAACAGAAAACCCAGTTAAGTGCATACGATCGGTCAGGGGATGGCTTCAGCAGGTTACGTTATCATGTCTTTGATTACTAATGACAACCCCAGGAATCGGGCACTGAGATTACGTCCATTTTACAGCTGAGGACACTGAGCCCGAGAGGTCGAGCGCTGTGGGTAGGGCCGGACTTTTAACCTGGGTGTTTAGGTCTGAAGCCCACAGTCGAAACACAGGTATTCTCCATGCAAGGAAGACGGGGAGAGAAAGGAAGTGACAAAGAAAGGAGGGAAGATTTGGATCAAGAGACAGGGAAGAGGAGAGAAACGAGGAAAAGCCAAATGCCTCACTTATTTCCAAAGTACAGGGCGCCCCCCTCATCTTCACTCCCAACCACAGCCCTGGGATGAGGTCTAGGCCCAGAGGGTCCTTGTCAGTGCTCCAAGCGCATCTGTTAGCCACAACCACCTCCACTCAGAAGTCACAGTTCAGCCAAAAGCCTTTGAGCCCAAAAGGCAGGAACAGATGAAACGTGTTACCTAGCGAGTTCCAGTTGAGCCTCTTGTATCCGGACCTAAACACTCGCACTAGCTCCTGCGAGTGGTCGTCAAGGAGGGCACACTCAGCCTCATTCAGCGTTCCCACGAGCATGTGGTAGTGGTCCAGCATGCGCTGAATCCCCTCCGTGTACCTGCGCGTGCAGGAGAGGCAGCGACGTGAGGCAAGCAGGATGGAGCTCGTTACCAGCCTAACAACCTGCCTTAGGGACGATCACAGAGGACCAGGAGCCAGCCTGGAATTCTGATCGAGGGACGTGCAGGAATGCAAAGCGATGCCCCTCTCTCCACTAACTTCCTTTTTTGGGATATTTTGGTTACTCATTAAAAATGTAACTTATGTTAACATGGAATGTTCATTAGTGTTATCTTTAGATAAATGAGTAAGTACACATTTTAAGCATTTCTTGGTTTTAATTTCTACTGGTAAATACTGGGAGTTATGAAATCCACAGAGCTGCAAGCTCTGGGGTGGGGGTTCTGGTGGTTTTCTGAGTGTGTGGCATCCCCAGACCAGAGAGCTCTCTGCCACTTTATGAGAAGCTTTTTACCTAAGAAACTTGTCCTCCTGGAGGGCGATGTTCCTTGCTAACTCTGGGACAGGGAATCCCAGCTGTTCCAAGTACTTTGTTTCATAAATAATCTCCCTGAGACTAAATGGAAAATTGATTGCAAAGGTCGTGCCCCTGTCGGAGGAGTTGGCGGAGTTGGCGGCGTCTTCAGAGCTGCTAGAAACCTGTGGGAGGGATGTGCAGTCAGTGTGGGAGTGCTATCCGGACAGCACTAAGATCGACACTGCCCGGGTTCCACGTGGACCCAAGAAAGATCAATGCCGGTCCCCAGTGCCCTGAGATAGACTGGGGAGCTGGGAACCAGCCAGAATGCATATTTTGTTTGGTGAACAGTTTTTATGAATTCCATTTAGTTATCTACCTTCGAAAACTGGGCACCTGCATATAGAAATCCACCATTCTGGTTACCCTCAAAAACTTGGCAAAGCTGAGGATATATGACAACGGGCTGGAGTCGAGGAGCAGCAGCCCCTCTGGATGGGACCAGAGCAGTCCAGTTCCTCATGGGCCCACCTGACCCTCGTCACTCATTCCAGTCCCTCCTTCAGAATTTCAGACACCAAAGACCTATGACCGCCCAGCTTGGGTCTTTCCTCCCTCACAGCTACGATTTATTTCTTGGCCACTTGGTGTGTGCCAGGCACAAAGAGAAAGAACAAGGGTGAGTCACAGGAAGTGGCGTTCTCCTGCAGGTTGAAAATGGTCAATGGCCAGCTGTTTCCTATATGGTTCAACCAATACTTTATGTCCCTGGACCCAACTCTTCTTTATAAGCAGAGAAACTGAGGCTCAGAGTGAGCCCATCTGCCCGAGTCAGCAGACTTGCCCAGTTCGGGGCATTTCCTGACCATGGCCCTGTGTTGCCCCACCTCCTTCCTTTCTGCTTCTCCTTGTCTCCCAGCCGTTGACTTTGGAAATTCCCATCACCTTCACGAGTGTCAGGAGGGGGATGCCCGCCACCCCTCGGGCCACTGCATCTGGAACGGGGAGGCGGGGACGCACCCTCGTGAGCAGGCTCTTCTTCATGAGCGCCGGCAGCAGCTGCTCTGTCGCCTCTCTCCACTGCTCGTACTTTCTGTCTTCGTAGTCCTTCATCGTCCTGCCCACCTCCAAATACTTTTGTTTCACCTACCCAAGAATTCAAGCAATTATCATTTGGCCCTAACACAGTCTGCAAAAGGAAGCTGACAGAATTTCACAGGTTTTGGAGAGTCTGCTTGAGCTGGTTCAGCTTGGGCTCTAGGCGGAGAGGAGAGGGCAGCAGACCTCGGCCTGTGGGCTGTGTCTGGGGCAGCCCGCGAGCTCAGCATGGCTTTCGTGTTTTTAAATGATAAGAAGGAAATAAAACAAACACAATGCTTTGTGGCTTGTGAAACCTACAGGAACACTCAAACCCCAGCATTCATATAGGAAATCTCATCGGAGCAACCACGCCTGTCCGTTTTCCTGTTATCTGTGGATACCGTCCGAGACAACTGCACAGCTGAGCAGCTGCAGCAGGGACCATACCACCCACACATGCCTAAAATATTTACTCTCTGGGTTTTGAACCCCCACCCGAGGATATCTTTTCCATCGCTTTTCAGAGAGTGAGGGTAGGAGACAGAGAGAGAGAGACATCGATGTGAGAGAGACATTGATCAGCTGCCTCCTGCACGTGCCCTGACCAGGGCCAGGGATTGAGCCTGCAACCGGGGTACGTGCCCTTGACCAGGAATCGAACCTGAAACCCTTCAGTCCACCAGCCGATGCTCCAACCACTGAGCCAAACTAGGTAGGGCTACTCTCTGGACTTTTAAGGAAAAGGTCTGTCAACACCTGCGATATAACTTACAAAAACCCACGGGAAGAGAGGCACAGACAGTACTATCAGAAAGATGGTGGTCACCCCCTAGAGAGGCTGAAGGTCAAGTGCCTGCCACCTGGAAGATGTCGTAGGTATTGAGATGCCAAAGAGAAAGGATGCAAAAAGGTGGTTTTAAACCCGAGCCCTGGATCAGGGACCCCAGGAGGGACCTTCTAGGTGGCAGGAAAGGGTCTGAAGGTGAGCTGCTCACTCGGGCAGCCCCACGGAGCCTGTGTGATACACAAGGGGAGGTTCCAGCAGAGTGACCTACTTCTTCCCCCCGGTCACTGTCCAGTATCTCCTCCACCTCCTGAAACCTGAGGATGGTGTGCTTGATCCGGAAGAACAAGGATCGCTCCCAGTAAATGGCACCTGCCACCGGAGGGTGATTCTTATACAGTGGGGGGTTGTCATGGTTCCGGATAAAGAGTTTATTCACGATGTCGATCTGGAAAGCAACCAAGTATACTCTGTGAGTGGTGAGCATTGCCACTTAGCCAGGAAATATTCAACTGGAGGTTAGTATCTTTAACGAGATGAACACTGGAATATCAGCAGTCTAAAATAGTGTCTTTACTACTTATTATTTACTGCTTTTTTGTATGCTGAACATGTGCAATGTTCCAAACTGCCTCATCATTACAGACTGTGTACATTCCTTGGACTGACTTGTTTGTTCTCGACATGACTAGTGGCCTGAAGTGTGTGTGTGTGTGTCTGTGTGTGGTTGGACCACACTCTGTGCGTCTGTCCATCCAATGGACACTTGGGTTCTCTCCTCCCTTGGCTAAAGCATCCCTACACTCTCACTTGGGTAATCCGGAGTGGGGGAAGAATAGGAGCCCCCAATAATGGTCCTGATTCCCAGAACTGTCAATATGCTGCATCACATGACAAAGGTTGCCCATCAGCTGACCTTAAACTGGGGAGACGCTACCCAGGACTATCTGGGTGGGTCATGTAATCACAAGGGTCCTTAAAGCAGGAAGAGGGAGGCAGAGGAGAGGGTCCGAGTGACTGGTGCGGGATGTGGGGCAGGTGACTGCTGGCCCTGAGGATGGAAGGAGGTCATGAATCTCCAGAAACTAGAGAAAACAAGGAAATAAATTCTCCCAGGAGACTCCAGAGAGGAACACAACCCTGCTGATACCTTGATTTAAACCCAGTGAAACTATAGCAGACTTCTGACTTTTAGAACTGAATGTAAAACAACAAATCTGTGTGCCTTTAATTCATGACGTTTGTGGTCATTCGTTATGGCAGCAACAGAAAACTGATACTTTAGGAGATCACTTTACCCCTTTACTTTGTATTACCTTATGTCATCTAGTGATTTCACATATTCTCATTCTATTTTCTGAATACAATATTAAGCATTTTTTTGCCTGATCCTCCCACTAGAAACTGACTTCTTTAAAGGCAGAATCTGTGTTTTATGCATCTATCTCTCTCTTTGCCTAACGCTGCACTTAGAACATGAAGCCCTGGATGCGGTTTTCTGAATTAACTTATGAACACATGCGTGATCTCTGCACATGGTTAAGCACTGATGACTACTATTATTACTGGGCCCATCGCACACATGAGGTATACAACATTATACTCAATAAATTCTCACTGAATTTCTCCACCAAATAAAACACACCCACTTTTTGCTTACCTGTATTATGTGACATACATACCTGGGAAAACCCCCCGTTTCTCTGAATTTAGATGGAACAGACAATAGTGAGATTCAATTGTTCGAATTTTGCCAAGTACAATCTTACTGCAACAGACAGCGGCTACAGGCCTTTCAATTACCTCTTTACAATACTGTGCAAGAATGTCATTAAATTTCATCATCATCTGTCGATTAACAGCCTCCCGTGAACGAATGTGCTTAAACTTCAGAAGCATGTCAAATGCTGCTTCAGCCGAGCGAAGCGTCTTAAAAGATTCATCAATAAAATTTTTTGCTTCTTTCTCAATAACCTGCCAAAAAAACACAAAAAGTCAAGAAAACATCCCTCATGCTGCTGTAACTATCCTGCAAAAGTAAAACGGCAAAACGAAACAAAACAAAAGAGCAAACAACCAAATCTGTGCCTTGAGAAGGCAAATGAACAATAAAAGCCGTGCTCAACGCCATGGAAATGAAGGGCTGGACAAGGAGGCGGCTGGGTTATGGTGGCTTCTCAGGTCAGGAGTGGGTCACAGCTTCACCGCCGTAAGAAGTAAACTCTGTTAATTTAACCAAAAGCTATTACAAAACTATGCTGGTGGCAGAGGCAAAGGAGGGCAGCAGGAATAGGACAGTGGAGTCTGCATCTACCCTGAGAAGTTAACTCATGTCTAAAGTTGATCGAATTTGGTAAAAAAGGAAATAACCACCTTGGCATGTTCTTTAGGAAATACAGAGGTAAGCAAAAAAAGATGTATCTAAAACTATAGAAATGACAGCAAGGACGGGATGCAGAGGGTACTCGGGGCTGCCTTTTCTTATTATGAGCCTTTAGTATCACAAGTAGCTCTGATGAAAAATTCAATTTAAAAATGAACACGTAGAATTAAATAGAAGCTGAGAATAAATTAGATACAATAAAAATAAAAATGCTTATATAACCAAGTAGAACTGTCTGGGGTTGTCCATATAAAGACACACTCGGGGGTAAAAACACACAATTACTTAAGACATAGCTTGGGGGTGGTGCAGCCCACACGTGGCTGAAAGGGTAATGGTGATGGGCAGCCCGTCGCACTTTGCGCAGTGAAGTCATAGTCTCGCCTCCAGCCTCGCTGTGACAGGCTCCACCTCCCCCACACCTCTGGCCAGAACCTCCTATGTCATCTCCCCACCTCCCTAGCCCAAATCCACCTGTGCTGCGGCCAGAAAAACCTTCCTCCAGTATAATTCCCATCATATCACTCCGTTGGCCAACAACCCTGGATGGCTCCCTACTGCTTACTGAAGTCAGTCCCAGTCTGCAGCCTGGTCCTCCTAGGTCCTCTCCACTTCCACACCCAGCCCACCTCTGTGGAAATGCTACTGTGCCTAGCTCAGTTAAAGTGATTCATCTCAGGAAGGAGGAGGGAGACAAAGGAGACTAGGGAATGTTCACTTTTACCTTATGCTCTTCTGTATTGCTTCCATTTTTTACAAAAAAAGCAGCTATCAGTCTTTGTGATTTAAAATAAACAAACAAAAAACCTCTTAGCAGAACTAAATAACCAGGCAAATTTGACAAGGAAAAACTACTTGCCAGAACTTCGATCTTGAAGTCGTCCATCACGTATTTCCAGTACTGCGAGGACTTGATGCTGAAGGGGTCAAAGGTCAGACTCTCCATGGGGGTGACCAGGCCATCCACCCTGCACAGGACATCGTCAATGCGCTTGGGGTCCCCCGTCACTGCCTTTAGTTCTGGACCAAATATATTATAAAACTCCTCCATCACCTGTCCAAACAAAACACCAAGAGGTCACTCTTCGGTTTCACACTGGATATTCTCGCTACACACAGACTCATGGACAGGTACTGTGCCTACTGCACGCAAGATGAGAGCCCAGCCCGGCACTCTGACACAGCTTACAGAGTGTGCATGCTCTGGCCCCTCCCTACCTGTTCCTCCCTCGTCCCACACTCCTTTCCCCGAGCAGCTCTGGGATCCTGCACCTACAGGGGTCACTGGACATTTCCTCCAGACAGCTGCCTAGGGCAGGATCAGCTCGGTTTCTGATTTGGCCAAGAATCTTGCCAGGGCTTTAATCCAGGTCATGAGTTCTCTGTGAATTCTCAGGCATGCTCATTCAAGGGAAGGGTGAATTCCCACTTACTGTTTTTCGGACATAGTGTGATCCATAAAACAGAACAAGGGCTTCATTTTTGAAGGTGCATTGTTTTAAAAGAGGCTTGATAATAAGAGTCAGGCGAGGAGGCCGGCTGGACTCTGAAAGCCCTGGTTCCTGTCTTCTGGAGCAGAGGCGGGAGGGAGAAACAAGGAAGCTTTCCACACTCTCAGGATTCAGACTGGTCTCTCTCCCTCCTCCTCAGAATCGTGCAGCAATGACCCTTATCAGCTGTGAGTTTACAGGCCAAGCAATCTCCCAAATAAATGGGTATAAATGTGTTTTTTAAAAAGCCAAACTGCTTTCCATCAGGCAACCCTAACCACCTTCACGTGTATTAAAGAAAACGCACAGCAGCACCCCCCCACCTGCAAAATGTCGTAGAGGTCCTGGCAGATGGTGGCCATGTAGTCTGTCCTCTCAAACAGCTGCTTTCGGTCAAACTCCCACCGGGCTTCCCTCCCTGAGGCCTCGATCTTGGCCCTGGTGTCAAAATAGGCCTTTTTCCACATGTTCAGGGTGTTCTTGGCCTCCAAGGTTTTGTGCTGTGCACTTGCTCGGTTTTCCCTGTGATCAGAGAGACCCGGAGATGGGAGGGAAGACAGAGATGTAGTGGGTCTGAGCAACAGTCCCCAGGGGAGCAGGTTTCTAGGAGGAGGATTCTAACTGAGGAGCAGAGCCTCCCTGAATTCAGCGCCTCTTCAATAAAAGCTCACCAGGCGAGCAGCTGCCCGCCACGATTTGCAAGGGTGAGACAGGAAGTCCAAGCTGCAGCCCAGGCTGACCTTTGCAGCAGCTGCCCACCCAACACGAAATGCTGTGGCTCACCCGGGAAGCTTTCTGTCTGAGCTGAAAGGGGAGCAGGCGGCCTTGGGGCTAGGCCAGAAGTCAACAGTAGGGGCTGCAACGTCGGAGCAAAATGATAATTCCAAGATTCTGGTACCTATGTCACCCACATAGATTTTTTTCTTCTTTTTTTGGTAAGAAAGTGAAAAAAAGATCTGTATCTCCTTCAACATTTGATCCTCAGCTGCACCTGAGCGGGCCTAGGGTCCAGAACTGAAAATTTTCTGAACCTGTGCCTCAGTCTTTTCAAGGACAACTAAGGAAGAAGGTCCAGGTGAGTAAAATTACCTACATGTCCACACAATGGAACATCACTCAGCCATGTGAAGGGAAGGGGTGCTGACACACGCTACGGTGTGGAGAACCTTGGAAACATGTTGCTGAGTGAGAGCAGGACATGCTTAAGGAAACAATAGCATTGCTATTTCTTACTACTTCTTACTTGAACAAGGTCCGAAGATTCACCACTTTGCAGACTCTCTCGGCAATTTCCCAAGCGATCCGCTCCATGAGTGGGATCATCCTCTCGTCTCTGTTGTAGTGCCGGGAGATGATCCACACCATCCTCAGCGCACTCATCATGGAGGGGATGGTCTCCAAGACAACGTGAAAGCTCGATCCATGCGTTATGTTCTGACCAGAGAGACACGTGCAGGAGAGAGAGCAGAGTTTACGCTGGGCCTGATGAAAAGGCTTTGGACGTGGACAGTGATGAGGGGTACACAGCACCGTGTATGTATTAAATGCCACTCAACGACACGCTTACAAGTGGTTAAAATAACATTACTTTACATATCTTTTACAGCAATGTTTAAAATGCTGAACATTTACAAAGGGAGTTGAATCCACGTTGAGAGCTGACACGGAGAGGTGACTTCCCACCTGCGTACCTTGAAATGGCGCTCCACGGTGGAGAGGAAGCGCACGTTGTCGGAGGCCTCCATGTGCAGCTTGAACAGCTCCGTCAAGACTGGCTGCAGGTTAGCTACGAGCAGAGAGTCTGACTCCTTGATCACTTCCAGGACTTTTTTGACCACAGGAAGCTTCGTTTGTTCGTGGAGTGCACTCAGAGTTGCATTTCTTTCCCTCCAGAATTCAATTTCTGCCAGAGGACCGTTACCCTGGAGGTGACATGGACATACAAACAACTGTAATCATCAGTGTGGAGTGGACACTGGAGGCTATTTCTCCAGCATCTGTTCCTCTGTCCCAAATGCTCCACACAGGCTAATCTGTACAAGGACTCCGGGAATGGACACTTGGCCCAGGATGGTCTAATCAGAGTGAATCTCGGGACTTCAGCTGGTCATGCTAGACAAAGACACTGTCTTTCTCTGGACAATGTGGGGATGTGGGGCCAGAAACTGCTATAAGTCGCTACCATGAAGGAAGCCAGCCTGAGGAGGAAGCCCCTGCTGAGAGGAGAGTGGAACCGAGAGATTCACAGAAACACTGCCAGAGTCTTGATCGAACGTACCTGAAACCAGCCTGCCTCTGGACTTGTCAGTTATGGGAGCTAACAAATTCTGTCGTATTTAAGCCAGCTGAGTTGGGTGTCCTGTTTGGGGCAGCCCAAGCATCCCGAGTGACACACAATATTATCTTCATCAATCCAGGAAGCAACCTAGTAGCACACTGACATCTGAGAGCTCAAGAATGAAAGCTTAGGCATGTTTACTTCCATCTTTTAGGAAGATACAAAACAGTGAGAGAAGAGGCTAGACCACATGGGCCCCCAGACTCACGGCCTTTCTCAGGGAGGCAAGCATGAACTCTATCAAATATCTTCAAAAGCACTGCACAAGTTACCTGAGGTGTCTTTTTCAGCTGGCTCTCGACAGCCGCTGAAATCTGATTCAACCAGTTTATCACACATTGCTCCAAGACTTCAACCGTTTCTGGGTCAGCTGCCAGGGCAGGCACCTCTCCCTCAACGCTGATGCTTGGCATTTCTAACTTGATCTCACCTGGTAAAACAAAAGCGCTCAGTCAACCACCCATTTGGGGAAAATGATCACAGACAATCACATTCACGTCAGTCCATAGGCTCTTCTCTCCACACATCAGTGTGACACGGTCTGATACATTCCATCCCATCTGTCTACATTTCATTCTCTTTCAGCATTTTAGAGAATCAGATCACTGTTCCAGTGTTCCCCTTGGTCAACCTAGTAACTTTCATTTAAAAATTGAACCACCGCCTAGCTGGAGTGGCTCAGCGGTTAAGCATCAACCTATGAACCAGGAGGTCAGGGTTCGATTCCCGAAGTCAAGGCACATGCCAGGATTTCAGGCTCCATCCCCAGCAGTGAGCGTGCAGGAGGCAGCTGATCAATGACTCTCTCTCATCATTGATGTTTCTCTCTCCTCCCTCTCCCTTCCTCTCTCTGAAATCAATAACATTTTAAAAAATAAAAAATAATAAAAATCAGTATAGCCATCAAACGACTCAGGCCCCTTGCTAAGCCAGCCTCTCAACCATCTGGTTCTCCACTCACAGCCCACACTCCCCCCATCCAGTGAGGTGCAGAGCAGCTCCACCCAACTGACAGACAGCCCACCATGTATGGGGCCCTGGGGTGTGGACAGACACAGAGATATCTAAGCCCTAGGACCCAGCCCTCAACTCCTTCTCATTCATGGAAATCCCTTCATTTGTTCAGCCATTCTCCCTGCCTGAAATGCACTAGCTCCCCAACTCCACCTCCTAAAGCCTTGCTCATCCTTCCAGATGAGGTCAAACACCACCTCCTTCAGAAAGTCTCCTTTGATTTCCCGCCACTTATCCAACCTGGTCACCCTCTTCCAAACCCTTGAGGCCCTAACATCTTTCTCGAGCTCCTTATTCTGCCATGGTGCACTGGGCATTGGATCATAACATCCTTGAGGACCAGGATTCGTTGTTCCTGTGTCTCTTACAATGACCAGCTCATTGCCTTCCAGGTCATGAGCAGACAAACAAGAATAATCGTAAGTTAAAACAAAGGAAGCTTATGGGCTCTTAAATTGCCTCCTTAAAGTAAATGCATCCTACTTAACTAAAGAGGGGGAAAACGAAAGCTTACCTTCAAGTTGCTGCATTGTTCTTTGGATGCTATTTGCAAATTTCTGGAGATTCATTAAAAATTCATCCCGTATTAACTGAAAGCTGTGATACTCCACTGCTTCTCCAGGCATGCTAGGCAGCTCCACCTCAGACATAGCATCAGAGTGCTCTCCGGGTGTGAATCCTGAGCTTGCTTCCTTGTGCTGATTGAAGGACAAAGCTGGCAAGAAGACCTGCAATGCCAAGTTTATCGAACAAATCATCCCATGGCCTCATGCTCAACAATTCATGCTCTTGAGCTGCCTCTGGCTTTGAATATTCTACTCAAAGGCACAAATGCATCCACAGAGCTCACGACAGCGCCTGGGACATAAGAGCTGCCAACTGCCTACTGGTGGAATAAGGAGACCAGGTGGCCTTAATCTTAGGAACGCTGAGATTTCTTCCACTGCCCACATTTACCTGGCATATGACATCTCTCAGGAAATGAAGCACATGCCCATTTATAATCCCATACTCCAGCGTTTCGGGCATGGTTTCCATAGCTTCCTTCATGTAGCTGGCTTCAAAGATCATCTCTAAAAGGGAACAGATTCGAGGGTGAGATGCGTGCGGTGGTGGCAAACAGTTCACGTTTCCAAGGGTACAGGAATCGGCTCCCTCTTGCCAAGTGGCTACAAAGGACACAGGCTCAGAATACACGCCAACCTCTATTCAAATAAGTCCCTTGGCCTATGAGAAACTGAAATATATATGGTATGTTTTTAAAAAATAATAAATTCGTTTGTTTTTTAATCCTCGCCTGAGGATATTTTTTTCCACTGCTTTTCAGAGAAAGTGGAAGGGAGAGAGAAACATCGATGTGAGAGACACACATTGACTGACTGTCTCCCGCATGTGCCCATACCGGGGCCGGGGATTGAGCCTGCAACCAAGGTACACGAGCCCTTGGCCAGAATCAAACCTGGGGCCCTTCAGTCCATGGGCCAGCGCTCTAACCACTGAGCAAAACTGGAATAGCTACAGTCAGACGAGGTCCAAGAGCAACAATCACTGGGGAAGTCACTAAAAAAAAATAACCCACAGGTGCCCAGGATGGCTGAGTGCAGCAGGAATGCACAGCAGAAGCATTTCACCCCAAAGTTACCATGCAGAGAAAGTCCACGAAAGCTCATCTTGTAACTCAGGGTCATGCCATTTTGAACCTCCATCTAATTTACAAATATAACTAAGAATAGATTAATAGGTCTCATCATTCACGGTAGCTCTGCTCTGTAAGGTGCTGTGAACACTGAGTCAGCAAATACTGAGCCACTGTTCCCAGGAGAACTGCAGGCTTAGGTTCCTAGGAGCCTCTGGTCACAGCATTTCCATCAACCTTGCTTTGTGCATACTTCAGTTTAAAGACACCTCATTTAATGTATGTTACTGAACCGTTAACACTGACCTCATGGCCACAGCACCATTGCTCACAACTGACAGGAACTTATCTAACACACTCACACACACACACACACACACACACACACGTGCACGCGAGTTTTCTCCCTAAAGCATGTCACAGCCGTCCTGTACTCAGGGACATTAGACAGCACTTGCGCACCATGCTTGGGGCCACCTTAAACAGTGAAATCACCAAAAAAAGCACAAAAATGTGAAAATGGTGGCCCTAAACAGATGTGCTAAGGACGTCTCTTTCCAGTAGGAGCTGAAACAAGAAGGCAGAGCGTCACCTCGTTCCACCTCAGCTGGGAACATGCACATTGGGAGACTCCAGTGTTTCCCCCTCTGCACACGTCCTTGAATCACCTTGAAAGTACTACAAGTACTCATTTAGGCGTTACAAAAGAATTTGAGTAGGTAAATTTGCAAATATGGCATCCGTGGAAAATGAGGACTGACTATATTAATAAAAAGTCATTCTCGGGAAAGTGTGAAAATTTAGGCTCTCACACATACACCCAGGCATGTGCACACACACCCACAACCATACACACACACACACGAGAAATGTACCTTTTGTATTTCTCAGGAAAAACACCACATTCTGGTCCAGATACTCCTCGGGGACAGGAGTACAGAGCACGTGGAGATACATCTTCTCCACGATGTGCTTAACAGTTTTCTGAAACATGAGGAACAAAAACCTGTCACACTGAGATATAGCCCTTCACCCAAAGGACCCAATATCCCAGCACGCCTGAGCTGTCCATTCACTGCTGTGTTCTGACCTCGCTTCCTAACCACACAGATGCAGATGCACAGCCGGCCCCGGCTGGTCACCAGCCGGTCACCCATGAGCTAAAATGCACCCAGACTCTTCCATTAACTTCTTGGCGCAACCATACTTAAACCAACTGACCTAATAGTGCTTTTCTATGCTACACATTGCAACAAGCCAGGCTTGAATGCAGTGTTGTTTTTTTTTGGGGGGGGGGCATATTCCTAAAGCGGTTAAGGGTAACTTCATTTAGCATAGATCAGGCTTACATCCTAGCTTTAAGCTCCACCCTTGGGATCTATACAGGAAAGGATTAACTCAGCAGGCCTGGGTTGTCCAAACCCTGCACCTCCCGAGGTGTTTCAATGTGGCCCTTAGCCAGCCCTCAGGTGATAACCTCTAAGCTTTGGAATGTCCTGCCTGTCATGAGTGTCTGTATACCCGGGGACTCAGGTCCGTCATGCTGGGTAGTTTATTTTTTAAAATATATCTTTACTGATTTCAGAGAGAGGAAGGGGGGGGAGAGGGGGAGAGAGAGAGAGAAGANCTAGAAACAAATTCCTTCTTTAAAAAATTTTTTTTTTAAATCCACACTGGAGGACATGTTTAGAGAGAGGAGGGAGAGAGGGAGGGAGGAAGGGGGAGAGAGAGAGAGAGAAAGAAACATCAATGATGAGAGTCATGGATCGGCTGCCTCCTGCACCCCCCTACTGGGGATCGAGCCTCCAACTGGGGCATGTGCCCCGATGAGGAATCGGGCCTCCATCTCCTGGATCCTAGGTTGATGTTCAACGGATGAGCCATGCGGGCGGGGCCATGCTGGGTGGTTGATACTAACACGGTGATCGGAGGTGGGCGCCTGTTTGCATTTGCCTGGGGTCACGCTCTATCAGTCTGACTCCTGATGGTTCCGGAGGCTGAGTAACTAGCGTGAGCCACGTGGGGACGCCTACGCGACTGGCCACCAAGGCCCAGGTGAGCATCCCTGACTCGTGACACTCCACACACGTGACACTTTACACACATGGCACTCCACACACGTGGCACTCCACACACGACACTGTACACGTGGCACTCCACGCATGTGGCACTCCACACACGCGACACTCCATGCACGTGGCACTTCACACACGTGACACTGTACACGTGACCCTTCACACGTGGCACTCCACACACGTCGTCCCACGGGCCGTTGGGAGAGCCGCTCTTGCCCACGCCCGTCACCGCAGGGGGCGCGGCCCGCGGGCCGCTCCCGCCTGCTCTCCGCGGGCTCCGTCCTACCCGCAGCTGCGGTCTTCCCCGGGTGACGCGCTTCTAACCCGCATCGGCCACTGTGGTGAACGGTGCGCGTCGCCACGAGCATACGCCCGCCTGTTCCGCGTCCTGGGGTCCCCGCAGCCAAGCCGTGTCGGATCTGAGGGGGCTCGGGGGGCCTCCACCCGCCGGGGTCCGTCCCTCCGGTCAGGCGGCAGCCGGTTCCCGTCCCCCCGGGAGGAGCACGCCGCCGTACCTTGGCGACGCCGCCCCCCGCGCTCTCTGCGTCCAGGTCCTCCTCCTCCGCGCCCTTCAGAGGCTGGTACATCGAGCTGGCTTTCAGCTGCAGGCTCTTGGCTGCAAAACACCGTCCAACCAGCGCGATGAGCCATCGGAAAGCCGGGGTCCTCGCCGGCTCGGCTGAGGGCGCTGAGGGGCCGCGGGGGT